AACCTGTGTAACCCCTAGCTGCCTAGCTCTTTGATTTTGAGCCACACCCACTTGTAGTTGTGCCAGGAGCTGGCGATGCTCGCCTCTGCCCTGCTGCCGGAGGATGCGGCGCTCGCATCCAGGACCCTTTTGCCGCAGGTGTCTGCCAGAAGATGCGTGTGGATCCTATGATTGGCTGGTCAAGCCAGCTGCTTTCCCCATGGGATGCAGAGTGTCCCAGTTGGCAACATAGGGCTCGCGGCGTGGTCCTCTGGGATCAGATGGGCAGTCAGTTAGACCCAGACTCCTGCCAGGATATCGCACCGTGCTTGCGAGCTGCTGGTCGCCGGCCAGCTGGCGCCTGATGCGGTGGTGCAGCTGCGCGCCTTGGCTTGGTTCTGGTAGGGAGCCTTGGTTCCTCGCCACTTGTCTTTCTGATTCATTTGGCCGTGGGTCAACACCAATGGTAATTACCATTTTGGGGCAGGTGCACCACATATTTTAGTCTATTTTAGTGGGGATTGGGATGTTTAATTTGTGGGCGGACGGGGTGTTGATTCATGGCCCATTTCGGCTAAAATTACATGCCAGCGCACTGGCCTCTTGGGGCGGATGGGCGCACCGCCCGCGCTCCAGGCGACCACCTCTCCCGCACGGGCGCGGTGCCGGAGCTGGAGACGGCGGCCGGCGCGCTGCAGGAGGAGGTGCTGCAGGCGCTGAAGGCCGGCGCCGGCCATGGCCGAGGATGTCCAGTGCAGGGAAATTGGGCTATTCTGGTGTTCCCGCTTTTTTCAGCAGGATCATATTGATGCGTGGTTCTTTGGTGCAGCGGGTGTCCGTACGAATAGCTTTCCAAAAAAAAAGCTGCAAAGCGCACCTCCCCCTCCATCAAAGCAGGGGTGTTGACCTTGCACCTTCTTCAAGCCGAAAGGCTTGCCCCATGAAGGCTGCGCCTGTGGAGACATGCGGAGATTTGGCTGCGCAATGAATGGGCCGCGTGCGAGGGTTCAGGGTGGGCCGGTCGGCCAGGCGGGGCCCAAAGCGCTGCAGCAGCTGCGTCTCACCTGCCTCGGCAACAGCGGCACACACCAGCTGTTGACGCGCCTGGACATGGCGGGGGCGCACCCCGCCGCAGCCTGGCAGAGGCCATTGTCACTGAGGGGTTTCCTATTTTTAAAGGTGTGGACACGTTGAAATTGATATCAGCATTGAAAAGTGGTTGCCAAAGCGCAAGCATACGCGGAAAGCTTGGAATCAATGAAGAGCTGATGACATGTGCTGAGAACTGCGTTGCGGTGACAACTCATTGGTCCGAGCCCGGGCGAGTGCACGCACCACAGTTGATTGATCCTAGGCTCCTCCGAGTTAATCTCAAATTTGCAGTGTCAAAAACTTGCGATAGAATCAATTGCAATAGACTCAATCAATAACGCTTATCATATACCGGAACGAACCCAACCCTGGCAGGCTTCCTTACCAGGTCCATTCAGGGTATGATTTCAAAGTGGTGAATGTACATATGGGTCTGTGTTGTTTTACCGTGTCAGTTCTTTAGTCTTTGTCGGAGGTGGGGCTTGGGCGAGCCATACCCCCGAATCATACCCCGAACCATACTCCCGAGCCATACCCCGAGTCATGCCCCTTAAAAAACACCAAAAATGAACTTGCAAGAACTGTGGCATTTGCATGTGATCCATGGATAGCTGGAGCTATAGGGGGTTTAACTTCAAGTGAAGAAGGGGGTCTTGTCAAGAAACAGTGTTAGAGAGCTTGACATGTGGACCGATGTCAGGGGGTAGGGACTTCGAGCTAATACTTGGTTCACTGTTCACTTGTGGTTCCTGGATCTATTCTTGAGTCTGCGATGCTTGCATGGTTGGGCTCTGATGTCACGGGGCCAAATACAGTTGCTATTTTCAATGGAAAGTGCCAATGGATGGAGTTATAAAGCAATCCTGCGGATGTCCTGGTACTAGAGTTGTCTGTAGCATCCGTGGTGGTGTGGCGGGGGGGAGCAGCTTGACGTAAGACGCTGTGACTTGCAAGGCTCTGGCGGGGGGTGCCGCTGCTGAGCTTGAAGCTTGGAGCTTGCTTCCTGCAGTCTGTCCGACGCGGTGGAAACAGCTGTCTGTCCTGGGCCACTGTCGCAGTGAAACACAAGCTGTCTTTGTCTTTCCGGTCGAAAAAAATCTGTCCCCCGATTCATACCCCCGATTCATACCCGATTCATACCCCGATTCATACCCTTCTGCTGCCATTCGCAGCCAAGAGCCTCTTGCGCTCTGGGCAGTACTAGCGAAGCTATGCCGCCCAATTCCTCAGCAGACACAAAACTCAAAGAGAAGCACTGCAGGAACCAGCTCGCGGCTCTTTTCGCAGAAGTTCGCCAAAAGGTGGGTTCGGAAGGCTTACTGCGATGTATCGCGCGCGACACGGTACACCACGCCCACTAGCCTCTGCGCGGCTGCCGTTTGAGGATGTCACGCTGTCTTGCGCTTACGCTGGCTCGTGACTGGTGCGGGTGGCGGGCCTGACTGGGCAGCGGCGCTTCCCCTTAAGCAACGCTTGCTTGGGTCTGTGAGCACGCGGGTCGCTTGAACTCCAAGTGGAGGTGGCAATGACGTTCGCCTCTAGTGGCTCTGCGCCTTCCACCTAGCGCAGCAGCTTTCGCTAACTCACTCACGCAGAGTGGCAGCTGTCTAGTTCAGGCCACTCACAAGCGCCCCAGGCTGGCTTGTAGCAACTGTCCAAATTCTCACGGCTATCCAGTTGCCAGCGCACGGGAGCTTTGCAGCGTCCAAAGCCACAAAGCAAGAGTTCAGAGGCGCGCGAGCCATACCCCGAATCATACCCCCGAGCCATACCCCGAACCATACCTGCGATTCATACCCCTTATACCAACCTCCCGGCACGGCCACGTCAAAAAAAACACATACCCATGGGTATGTCTTTTGTTTTGAGGGTGCCCTCAATGGTTTGTCAGTTTTTTTGTGCCTAAACCAGACACACCGATATGCAGTATACACGAGTTCTCCCTTCAGTCAGTTTGTCATTGTGTTTTCCATAGCGCTTTTCCCAAGCTCAGAAGCTGCTGGGTGTCACTGCAACACAAGCCCTTTCCCAACTGCTGGTGGGCAGGCGGCCTTGCTTTGTAGCGGGTGAGTTGGGAATAAGAACGCAGGTTTTGGACAATCACTCCCTTTGAATGTGAATTGTGCCTGTGCTGCTTCATTCTCCCGCGATGTGAGCCAAGGACGGTCTTGCCGCGACAGCCTTCTTTGGGCAGGTCCTTTGCCAGGCCCGGCAGGAGGAGGGGGAACGACCTGAAAATAGAGGATGTTTGGCATCATGGGTACTCTTGGATCACATAGGTAGCAGGGGCTGTGCAGAAATGTGGAAGTGGTGCCATCTGCATGCATAGGTTGCATCTATCTTGCCTTTGTACCTCATGCTTTGGAGCTGAGAGCGCGGTCAAGGCATCTTATTCCTCGGCATTGTGACTCTGGAAAACTCTTCAGAGAACACTGCACGTTCCCTTTAGTTCCTGGCTGCTGGTCATGGGTACGGCCGGGTGTTGCTTCTGGCTGCTTAGTCTCGAGTAATTCCTAGTGGCAATTTTCCTCGAGTTGTAAAAGCACAATGCACCCTCCCCCGCAAGTTCCTAAGAAAGGGGCCCAACAACTGGGCACACGTGGTGCGTCGAGACTGCAACCGGAGGTGAGGGTTTGGTTTTGACATGTGTTGTGCCAATATAATATGCTGCAAAGGGACTCCCCAAGATGTAGGACTCCTCTGCCAGGTCAGCTACGACCTCAGGGCCGGGAGCCAGCACATCTTGGAGGAAGGCCGTATCATGGCAAGCGGCGGCACCGCAGCTGAGGGACAGCCTCCGATCGAAGTCAGTTCGGCGTTGAACGGGGGCTAGGAGACGACAGGCTCAAGTCAGGCTCATGTGCCGACAGAAACACAGGCGTCGGTGATTTTAGAAGGAGGCGGGTGTATTGTTCAGAGAGCGCTCCGGAATGACTCTGAAGAAGACAGTGGAAGGAGCTGGTACGGCCTTGTTTACACAACCAACTTGAGGCCGACCATAGCTTTGGGAGGTTGTTCGATTAGGCTTGAATCTTAGGTTCCTTCAGGCGGTCTTACTTTGGTTTATCATTTCTACCATCCGCTTGAACAGGGATGACAGACCACGTTTCACACCACACGAGTCTTATTCAAGCCCCTCTGAGAGGACCGCTGGAAGCTGTGACTCTGCGGTTTCCGCGGCATCGCGACGCAGAGTTCCTGGCGCTGCCGCGTGGCACAAAAGTAGCCCAGCACGGGTGGCACATCAGCACGTAGCATGCCGGCGCGGGCAGGTGTACCATTCAACTAAAGTAAGCAGGCACCGCCTGCTAGGTCCCCCAGTAATTAGTGCCCTTTTACCCTTTTTTGGGGGAGGGTCCCCCTACTAAAATAGACTACAGGAAAAGGGTACCCTTATTCTAACCTCTCTACTGGAGGACCTAGCCAAACTGAAGCTTCCGTGGTCGGCCAAGGAGCTCGGTGCTGGCGTCGCTGCGTGAGGCGCAGATGGCCTTGGCGGAGGTCCAGGGCTCGGTGCGGCTGCACGCGACCCACACGCCCTGCCTGAGCTGCGTGTGGGCCATGGCGGCCTGGTGTGCACTCCTTGGGTTGGGGCAGGTTGGCGACAGGGAAGCACTGGACAAACGCGTGAAACCAGCTGTCCCAGGCCCTATTTTCTGTTGCTTCTGTGGGAGGCCTTGCCTACCTCAGGTTCAGTTCCGGGAAGCCTGCCCCGGAGTGCGGCTGCAAGTGACATTCGATTGCTGAAAAGTGCGTCCGATCCTTCGACAGGTTGCCGCTCAGGTCCCAGGCACTTTGGCGAGAACTTGGGCTGTTTTTTTTGGCAGCTTGCAGCCCCTCCCAAAAACGAACATCAACAATTTGTGCCTAAACCCCAAACCCTAAACCCAACATTTTGGCAACGGAGGGCAACCCCGACGGCAACGCAGGAGAAGCATCGGCACCTGCCCACCGGCCGGGAGCTGGCCCTGAAGATCCTGCAGGCCGCCAGTGTTGTGAAGAACCCAAAATCGAATGATGGGCCCGGGGGCGTGGTTGATGCTTCGTTGTTGCCCCAGGGCTTGTTTGATGGGAGGTCCTGTTCTGCGGCCGTTGGCTTCTTTCGCCGGCCGGGATGTTTCGCTTGAGTCGCTGGTGGTTTGCTCGATTTGTACTTTGGGTTGTTTGGCGCTTCTTTCCCCTCCAAGAGTTTCCATAGCCAACGTGCGCGAACCTCTTCCGGTTAGGGCTAAGCGCAGCCAGTTTTTTCTACGCACCGGGAGAAGAGATCTCCTAGACTCCTAGCCGTCCTAGCTTTGGAGCCAACTACGAAGGCACCACTCTCCTGATTGATCGCTAGGCTCCGTTTGGCAATGCCAGGCCGCAGATATCGCGGAGCCACAGAGGAAGGCAATCCTTCTCGAGCTGAGGACCGCAGCATTGCAGGGATCATGTGCAGAGCAGAGTCCCTCATTCGAGGTGCCCATTGGGTTGATGTTGTGTTTTGGCCTGGCCTCGCTCTCATTGGCTGCGGCCTGTTGTAGCTGGCAAAATCCGGGAAGGCATTTGGTGGTGTATGTCTAAGCGTTGTCGCATTGTCAGCGCCAGGACTTTCTCAAAGTGCAGAAGTCCACACATTGCAGCTTAGCCGATGTGCCATTCAGGGGAGGTAGCTTTCTTGTGCTTTTGAGCTTTGCCGCAAGTTTTGGTCAGCAGTGACATGCAGAGCAGCAGCATGCTATCCCAAGGGTCAGGTGTTGCTTGTAGTGCAAAGTATTCAAAAGGCAACAGGGGTGCTGCTTTGCTTGTTTCTGATTGAAGCGATCTGAGCGTCGTTGCTGCATGGATTGCAGTCATTGCACAGATGGCCAGCCCAGCCAAATTGCCTGGTTTGAGCCTCTCACAACTTGGATGGTGTTCTCTTGTTTCAAGGGGTTTTCCGCGTTATAATTGCCAAGCCGGCGGGTGGATGTTTCGCTCCTGTCTTTTTTTGTTTCTCTTCTTTCTCTTTCACACCTATATTTGTTTTGTTCCTTCCTTTCCTTCCTTCCTTTCTTCCTTCCTTCCTTTCTTCCTTTCCTCGTTCCTTCCTTCCTTCCTTCCTTCCTTCCTTCCTTCCTTCCTTCCTTCCTTCCTTCCTTCCTTCCTTTCCTGCTTTCTCCCTGTCTCTTTCTGCATGTCTTTCTACCTTGTTTTCTCTGTTTGTTTCCGTTTCTTTCTCTTTGTGCTGTCTTTCGCTGTCTTTCTAGCCAATTATCTATGTATCTACGACCCTATCTGCCCATGTATGCCAATAGGGATGACTTGACAGATGGATAGAAAGAAAGACAGCGGGAACGGGAGATTAAACAGGACAATGACAAGCAGAAAGTGAGGTTAGATAGATAAATAGACAGAAAGAGACAGGTTAGATAGATAGATCGATTGCTTTGGTAGAAGCAATGCTAGACACATTGCTCGTTAGATTGATTGATGGCTTGGTTGATAAATAGATAGATACAAGGTTCCGGCTGGCGGAGAAGCCCAACGCAGACCTGCTGTTAAAACATGAACCATGAACCCTAGAAACATTCAAAGCCTTTGTCGCGCGTTCTCTTCTAATCAGTATTTCTATCTTTGGCTGTGTTTCTGTTGTTTTTCTTGTGTGAATCTCCAGTTTCTTTTTTTTTTTCTCTCTCTCTCTCTCTCTCTGTCTCTCTTTCTATCTCCACTCCCTCTATCTGGTTACGCATACCGCCCAGCCACAGCCTCTCTTCTATCTATCTACCTATCTGTCTCTCAACCCAATCCATCAATCAATCTAACTTGCCATCTATCTGTCTATCTACCTATCGATCGCTTGGTCTATCTGTCTACACATCTTAACTCTAAATTATTTCATCTATCTCAAAGGCGCAGGAAAAAGAGACGCCCAAGAGGTTGAAGCAGGACACGAGAGACCCAGGAGGACAAGGTTCAGAGGCCGAACAGAACGAAGGCCAAGGCCCCGGACGAGGAGAACGGAGAAGGCGAACTCGAATGGCGTAAAACAGACCCCGCGTCCAATGGGGTTGCTTGACAGATTGGCTTGCGCAGCGAGTCCGTGATTGCTATCTACCTTTTGCCATTTATCTATATATCTCTATCTTGCCATCTATTTGTGGACCTTGCGAAATTTGCGCGCCACCTGGCGAAAGTGCTGCGCCTGCCACAACATACTCACCTGACAGTGTTGCGCCCACCATGTCCGTAAGTGTTGCGCCTTTCACGTAAACTACTTCTGTGAGATTTGCGTGCGTCCGTTTTTTTCCCCGTGTGCTTCTTCCTTCATTTTCATTTGTCTAGTTGCCGTGCCACGGAAGTTCCTTCTAAGCTTCCTTTGATGAGAATATGGCCCGGTGATCGCTGTGTACTGTAGGAGAAGAAACCTTTAAGATGCACTGGCCCTGCGTGCTCCCAAGGTCGATTTTTACGGTGCCTTCTTTCACGATCCTTGACTGCACTTGGGGATGGGCCGCATAGCGCTTGCTGTTTGCCTGCATTCGCGGGTTTGGTCCAGATGCCGGATTTTGACAGAACATCGACAAGCTATGACAAGCTGCAGCTTAAGGCATGACATCGGCAGATGTTTTGATGAGGAAGATTCCAAGAAAACTGCGGCTTTCGGCGATTGCCTCAAGTTCTGAAAGCTTCTAGAGAACGGTTTGTTTGTGGATTCCGTCTATTCTTCCCCCTGCTGGCCTGTTTGAGCGCTTGTCTGCAAAAGCCGCATCCAAACCGTTTCTGAAAACTTCAGCAAGCAAATGCTTGCTGCAGCTGGCTTGCTGCAGCTGCGCCCTCCAAGCACACAATCCGACATCCCATTTCTTTGAGTTTGGCGGTGGCTGCGTTCTTGTAGAATGGCTTGGCGCTGATAAATGCATCCGGCAGTCCGTAGGCCCAGCTGCTGAAACCCCGCTCATTGGTTTGATCTCTTGGTTTCTGCGCCCCCCCCCCCCCCCCAAGAATCGTTGGTTGGATGGTTGGAGCTGTCTTGGTGCGAGCTTGACAAGTGGGCTGCACTTGAGGAGAACAACATCTACATGGCACTCGAGCCGCTCTGGCTTGGCATTGGAGCGCAGTCGGCCCCAGGGCGTTGTGGGCACTGGAGCCACCAGTGACACTTTGTGCGACTCACCTGGAACACAGCCGGTGGTTTCGATTCACGCATGAAGATCCTAGAAGTTCGTTGTTGGCTGGCTAGCAGGATGAGCCAGGTACATGAATGCAGGGGCCTTGTCGGCAACTCTTGCCGCGAAGAAGAAGGCAGCTCGGAGCTCAGTGCTTGAGACTGATGTGATTTTTCGTCATAGACAAGGTCGGTGATGGATTGGGGATATGCGTGCAACAAGTTGGTGCAAGCGTTCTCAAGGATGCGCCAATGGCCTTGTTGGGCGTTGCCTGCCTTCCAAGCGTTTTTGCTGCTGTGAGTGCCAAGATCCCGGACTTTCACGTACCAGATCGGCTCCTGGCGAACATCACGTGGCAGGCAAGGAAGGGACGTGGCAGGTGCACTGAGGCTACGCTGGAGGTTGGCTTGGACTCCCACAAAGCAGTTGGCCACCCAGAGCTTGTGGTTCCTGGCTAGGCATGTGTATTTCTGGGCCCATGCTGCTCTTGATGTGCAGGCTGGTCAGGAAGTGTCAGACGTTAAATGAAAACATTTGCAGGTTCTGGATGGCCTGGAATACTTGCACAGCCCCTTGCTCAGATGGTCTTGTGTCCTGCGCATCAGCGGATGTTCCCCTGACGCGAGGGCAACTGGACATCAATGTTTGTTGCCAAGCGATAGCTCAGAGCCCTGCTAAGTCGCCATTTGTCTCTCCCTGTTGATGACTTTGACCCGTCCGACTTGGGTTGACGCATGTCCAGCATTGGTCAGACTTGGCATCCCAGCCTATAGCAACCCAGGCGAGATGCATGTAATACATCGCGACATCAAGCCGTCAAACTTGCTGCTGAGCCGGGAGCCCGATGCGCGGGCAAGTTGGATATCCCAGTGGTTCGCTCAATGCCTTAAAAAAGGCCGGCAAGTTTGTCCTGAGGCTATCCTTCAAATAATTGTATAGATAAAGTTTCTTTTCGTTGCCTTGCTGAGTCAAGACCCTCCGGACGCAACGGCAGAGAGAGAGAGAGAAAGTTTCTTTTCTTGCCCCCCCACCACAAGCTGAAAGGGGTTCAAAGTCGGACCTGCGCGCCTTCAACATCCTTGAGGGCACTCACGATGGGTTCAGGCACGACGGGCATTGTCAAGATCACTGACTTCGGCGTCTCCGGAGAGCTGGAGGACGACCTGGAGCATAAGAACAAGGTCACATTCGCAGGGCTCCCAGAAAACGGCTACCAGCTTTGGGAAGGAACCCAAGCATCCAAGGGAATGCCTTCTTCAAGGATCGTGTGTGTGTGTGTGTGGGAGATTGTTGGTGTGTTCATCTAGCCCCGTCAGACACCTCTGGGCATAACCGGTATCCCCAACCACGTGCAGTGGCAGATGAGTGTGACTTGCCGTAGCTTGATGCGTCACTTTGAATACATTCCGCCAAAAGCAGAGAGTGTTTGTTCTGGTTTGCTTCTTGATTGCTGCATGACCTTCATACTTTAGGTTCCGCCATCACCCTGCTCGCAGAACAGCCTTTGTCTTTTAACACAGAATCAATTTGTTGGACAAGGGGACCCTAGAAATGTCCCATTTCTCCTCACACCAGCTGGTTCAAGAGCCTCCGGAGCTGCCGACTTGACCGGTGGGCCCAGGTTGGCACAATTCACTACATGTCACCCGAACGTGTAGTTGGAAAGCCCTACAAGTACAACTCTGACACGCCCAGACCTGAGTCCCTGAGGGCGGCGAGCGAGACTGGAGACCGGCACCTTGATTGGTTGACGCGGGGATTGCCCAAATGCAGTGAGTGCAATAACGCGGCACTCATAGTGTCAAGGGGAAGAACACAGCAGAACCATGTGACCCTGGAGCATGCATTCCCCCATCTGGACACTAATGATCTATCTATGTTTGCAGGCACTCATTTGTGTAACATATGTAAACCCTTTAACATGAGCAGTGGTGTTGTTGGCGTGGCATTTGCTGTGTGGGGATCATTCTGTGCTGTTTCTTGTATGAGGTTCATGCTTGTAGCGCTGTTCCAAGCAGTTCAATGTTGCAAAAACATGGGTGTAAACATAATTGTTAGTTTCTGAGCCTGCTCTTTCTTGACAGCCTCGCAACGCCCCTTGATTTCTGATCACACTTACTCCCCTTTCCTTGGTAGAAATGAGCACTTCTGATGATATATTTTTTTGACACTTCCATTTGAATGCGCAATTTGCCACAGTTGACACGTGCATCAACCTTACACTCAAATAGGCTGAACTTGCTGTGGAGCCCCCTCCATCAAAGCACGGAACCGGAAAATGAGACTCGCCTGATATTCGCCCATTGGGTTAAGTCGGGGGCCTTGTATCAAGCTTCAATTGGGTTAAGTCGGAGTCCACAATTCTCTACCCGGGTAGATGAAGGTTGGTAAGGGATACTCCCAACCAGAGCTGCCGCCTGCGTAATTCTTTACATGGTAGGCCGTTTTACTTCCGGGTTTTGAGTATGACTCTGAGGTGGAGCCTGGGCCTCACCCTCATGGAGTGCGTGCTGATGAGATATCCGTGCGCCGAGGGATCTCCATTTCTCCAAGTCGCAGGGGTATGGATCCGCCCAGATCCGCCCATACTGGAGCCGTTCAACCGGCATTTTTTCTTCTGACCTGAAGTGATTGGCCAACAAACGGAAAGGCTATCCCGGCACCAGATCATTCTGGGCGCCCACAACCGACACAACGACGGTGCCAGGTATGCTCGTGAAGAGGACTGCAGAGCAGGGGAGGGTTGCGATGTTTGCAAATACACAGGAGGGAAAACAAAAGCAAAAACAACAACTGGACGGGGCTGTGTGGATTGGTTTCGGGCAGCTTCCAAGTGACAGGTGAACGCAGTCAAGGCTTTGCATGCATGTGAGTCGCTTGAAGCACTGCGTGACCCCCCCATCAGGAAGTTGGCTACAAGTTCTCCTTTTGGGAGCTCATGCGCCGCATAGATAAGCCTCAGCCTTGGACGGATGCTGATCAGACGGCGCAGGCATTGGAAGGCAGACCGAACCCAAAAGCTCTTCATCCGCTCGGCCAGAAGCGGCCGGGAGCGTGAGACATAATGGTATGGATCAAAATTGAACCGTTTCGGGTACTTCTTTTTTTTGGGGGGGGACCCACACCACATGGCAACTTTGGCCCAGGCAAGAGCCTCCCAGCTTGCCGCCGTGCCCGCAGTACAGCCCCAAGCTGCAGGAGTTCCTCCAGGAGGTGGGGAGCAGGCCTTTCTTGAAGCTTTGCTTAAGATGCCTAAGCTTGACCAACAATCAAGATCAACAAACACGCAGCAAGACCCTCTGGACGCAACGGCAGAGAGAAAGAGAGAGAAACAAACAACAACAAGCAGCAAGTGCGCAGCCACAAACAAGAACCCGCCCAAAGTTTCCAAAGCAAGCATGCAACTTGCGCAGATGAGTGAACAGGCAAACAAGCCAAGCCGGCTACCACGTACCAACCGGCCAGCCACCACTAGCTGCGGCCAGCAATGAAAACACATGCGCAAGCAGAACAACCATTTGCAAGCACTTGACTATGCCCTGCCCTGGCTTTGCGCGATGTTTGCGTGCATGCTGGCTTGTGCCGGACCCCAACGCCTCAAAGCTCGAAGGGTCAGAACAACCGCGCCCTGGCGCAGTTTTCAGTTCCTAGCGACGCAGGCCCTGCAGAAAGACCCGGAGCACCGGCCTGGCGCAGCGGCCATGAAGGCGGGATCCGAGAAGAAACCCGAGGTCGTGAGGTGCACAGATCCTTCTGGCCTTCGTGCCATGTGCTGCCTGCTTTGGTCCATTTCTAGTCAAGCACACAAAGCTGAGCAAGCATTCTGTCAAGTGCTCTGCGCAATTTTCTTCGTGCGACAGGTTCGGGGGTGGTGACAACAAAATCAGCCGGGGGATTGCAGAACGTCTAAGCCGAAGACCTTGTCCCATCAGCCACTCCTGCATGGTCGGGCTGTGCCAATAGCACAGCTTTGTCAGGCGCATGGGTGGCTGGAGGGCTTCCAATCCGGGCACCTGGTGGAGCTGGCGATGTGGATCGCCCAGACGCCGGAGGAGGTGGGAAGTGGGACTCTGGGGCTGAGTGCAAGTTTTGTTCTCATTTGCACCACAAAGGGATGGAGATTTACCCTAGTTCAATGGTCCCCTTGAACAACACTCGGTTGAAGGATGTTGGATGTATTGCTGGTCCAACAGTGTTCCAACGAGGTCCCTGAATCCCGCCCATGCTGGTACTCGCACGCACTCCCGCGTGCATTGGTTGCTAGTCCTTGGTCAACGGACATGTTTGAAAGTTTGGCGCTCACTGGCCGCCAGGCGCCTCGCACCGGCCCGAGCAGGCGTCGGCCCTCGGCTTTGTGAGGGGTGGGGAGAGTAAGTCTGTCCACACCAAGGTGCGAGAGTTACTTTGCGTGCTTGTTCGCACCTGTGGTTGCCAATGGGCCCATATGTCGCTTCAGGGTCAAGCGGGTAGTGTCCTCCCGCCTCATGTTCAGGGTGTGGTTGGTCGGGCCCAGTATGGTGTAGTCTGGCATTTCGAACTTTGCCTGCTTGAAGTATTTTGAAAGCGTACCAGGTGCATCATGTTGTCGTCATTGTTTGCCCTCATCAGGCCGCTTCGGCACGGGCCAAACCCCTTCCAGGGAGGACGGCCTGCAAATTCAGCCACATTCAGCCCACATGGGCTTTCACCCGCAAGGGAGAAACGAGCTCGGAACGATCGACGCCGCAGTCACGTCTTGCAGCGTGCCATTAAAACATGCAAAGCCGGAGCGGTGTAGGCTTTTGACCGGACTGCTGCAGTACTAGTCGTGTAGCAGATCATTTTGCATGCTTCATTGATCTTCATCGCTCAAATTGAACGTGGATGCCCTGGAAGCCATGCTATCCCACCGCAGGATACTCCAGCAGCGGGCCGTCCAAAGTGCCGGCTGGGAGCCATGGATGGCTTCGGCCTGGCCACGTTTTTGTATGGCTTGTTTGAGAACTGTAGGATGGGCTTGGTCTCATTGAGCCGTTTGCGCTTTTACTCAAAGAGGCCACTCTTCAACCACGTAAGGCCTGGGCATGACCAGGCTTAAGCCTTTTGCTGCCTCAGAGTCCTCGCCTCGAACATGATTGTATGATGATCGCCAAAACCAATGGAGCAGGGTTCAAAACCTGGTTGTATTGCGATTGAAAGGGGGTGGTCATAAGGGCGCCATGTGTAAGGAAAACACGTGGTGGCGTAAGGCCGCGCAAGCTTTTTTTTCGAAGAAAGTTTGTTGTGTAAGCGGCTTGGATTGTTTTGGTGGCTTTGCGTAGTTAGGGGCTCAGACACCCTAAACCTTGCTGCTGATGTGTTTTGAGGCTAGGCAGCCAGCAACTGGGGAAAACGCAATTGGAAGCCCGCTTTTTCTCCTGATTTTTGGGGGTTCGGCTCCGCGCGGCGCAGCTGTGTGGCACAATTCGCTGGCGCATGCTTTTGGCTGGGGGGGTCCGGCAACGGTTTCGGGCTCGAATCCCCCCAGCCTGGTGAAACGAGCCACGGGTGCGGGTGGGACGTGCATGTGCGTGTGTGGCGAAAGCGGGAGTAAGGAAACCATCCAGTTTCGTAAGGAATTGTTTTCGCGTGAGCTGCGCGCGAGGTTTGCGCAAGGGAAGCTTACGTATATAAATGCAAGCACGTAAGAAAACCTGTACTGCGCGTAAGCTTGCGCAAGCACCTTGGCGTAAGAGTTCCTTACGACGTAGATTTGAACAAGACCTTTTGAACGCCGCTCAATGGGTCGTATGACGTCGGCAAAGCGGCCAATGTGCCGCTTGCCGTTTCGTCCCATTCCACCACTGTCTAAGTTTATTCAGATTGGCAACTTTTCTCAAAACCACCCTTTTGCTCTTTCTGATTGGGTTGGTGCTGCGCAAGTTCTTCTTTTCTCCGGGCAAAACACAGTGGCGTCTGACAATCACGTGGCAATATACAGGTTTTCCTTGGTTTGGCGGTCCGGGGGCAGGGTCCCTAGTTGTCGGTTGGTCGGTGGGTGTTTTTTTTCCCGCTTTCGCGGCCCAAGTTTCTACCAGCGGATGCAAAGACTGGCGACCTCAATGCTACAATCTTTATGTATAGATATATCATATATATATATATATGTATGCACATTTTGAAGGCATTAATGGGGGGGTGCTACTTTCGGCCAGTTGTTGAGTTCGTGGGTTGGTGTAATATAAGCTATGCCCTACACCAGCCCTAACAATGCTAAACCTTCCCCATACAGTACAAACCCGAAGCCAATCTTTTGGTGAGCCGGGTTGAAGGCGATGCTGGGTGGTTTTTAGAAGATGCTGTAAAATGCCTCATTGTAGCGCCTGCCCACCGAACCCAGGAAAGTAAGAAACACATTCCGCCGTCCTTGCGGGTTCCCTAGTTGTTGAAACACAAACAATTGCATTTGTTGTTTTTCCGGGGGAAGGGCGTTCCATTCCGCCAGCCATCCTTGCCTACTTGTTTCAAGAATCTAGGCCATCAGCTAGCCATAGCTAGCCTCCCCACGTCTCAGGGGTCTGATCTTGCCCACGAGGACCGAGAGATGCCGCCGAGACTGCCAGAGGGGAGCCTAAGACCACCGCCGCTCGGCACAGATTCCTCTCAATGCTGATGATCGGTTTCTAGGCTTACGGAGGGTGAATGTGAAAGCCGGAGCACGAACCCAGACCAACTGGCATGATGCCCGTGAATCAACAGCCCAACACTTGAACAAACCGCCTCGCGCGACCTCAGCTTTTCTGCGCTTCGAAACGTGCGACTTGCCTAATGGAAATTCGTGTAGATGAATGCCATTGCTGGGCTTATGGCGTCAATACTTTTGTGAAATGCTTTCAACCTCCAATATGCTCCATTTGCAAATGCGACGCTGACATGATCGCTCACGTGTTCGCTGACAGCCGCAGCTTCACAGGAACAAGACGTGCAGTTGGTTGGCTCACGTTTCCTCCACACGATTCCACACGTTTTGCAATCCGTTTCCGATCGGCTGGTGCCATTGGTGCCCAAGGCGATGTCCTGCCAGCAGCGGAGGGCGCCGCAGCGGCATTGCGTCGAACGTTGGCTGTTGATCTGACTCTTTGCCGTTAATTCTCGGACTGGGGGGGGGATTCTCCTGTTCGGGGAAAGCCAAAACACGGCTGGTTTCTTCATTTGGCGAGGAATCTAGTGAGTGGTCTGGGGCTATCTTGTGTTGAAGCTTTGAACGAAGCCCTGCTCGATGTCTGTGGATGTTGTGCATGTATGGCGGAGCACAGTTAGGTAGGCACCAGCTGGTATAGATTGATGGCATGCCCAGGTTTTGTTTTGATGGCCTTCTAGGAGTGAGCGCGGCACGAGCCCCTCTGAACAGATGCATGCAATGCGGCCGCAACCAACAGCCGTGCCAGCCTCCGCCCCATGCCTGCGGGTTTCATCTGTGGCAATCAGATGATGCCCACCTGTCAAAATGGTAAAGCTTGGATGCCCAGGGATGCGTGCAGTGGAGAACCCTTACAAGCAAGCATTGAACAAGCCCTGCCATTGCTCATTAGGTAGCAGCTCTTGCCCATGAGATCCCTCTCCCACATTTTCTGTAGTTCCCTCAACAATCAGGTGCATCCCCGTGCTTGCCACATTGCAGTGCAGTATCCAGCGTTTTGCTTTCCATTGTCCGCTCTGGTGGGTATGTCGTGTATGCCGAATTGGGGGGGGTGTCCTTTCTTGCATTTCCTCAGGCATACGGCGGCCAGCTCACCCGATGCTTCCGACACTCGGAGGAGCGACTCCTTGCACAGGGCCCAGGAGGCTGCCATTGGAATTGGCCTCCCTTTGGAGTTGTAATCCACGTTCTTTGGCTGGCGGCTGATGGTTTCCGGGAGCACCTCGGAAATTTGCGCCTTGAGGCCAGTGGACATGCCAAAGATGGACCAATCCTGGCATGGAGGCAGGGCTTGCACGTGCACGTGTCATGGGCGTTACCATTATCCCTCGAATTCGTCATTTGAGTTGGTGTGACGCTGGAAGGCCCCTGAAGGGAACTGGCGAACTCATGGCAGCAAACCACTCCGGCATACATCAGCCAACGCTTTGGATTTGATTTGGCATGTGCCCTTTTCAATCATCATGGTGTACTGATGGAGCTGTCACTAGCACTCCTTGGGTGTAACGTGGGCCTCCTTTGTGTAAGGTTTCGGCTATCAGCCATGGAAATAGGCGAGGAGGGCGATTTGTCATCAGTTGTTTACTTGGCTCAGCAGCAATGAGCCAACACCCGGCCGTCCCCCGCTTGACCCCCATGGCCACTGCGGTTCCGCTTCGCCAGGCCGGTGTAACCCCTTCAGTGCCTTCCAGGCCCGCAGAAGCGATGGCGAGCGAGTGGGGTCGGGATGCTTCCATAGTCTCATTCGACTGGTGCCATGTGCAGCACTTCATCACCTTACAGGATCCGACATGAGCCGCTGCGCTTTCTTGGCCTGCTTTTTTGTTTTTTCCTCCAGTGCTTCGAGAGGATGGTTGCAGGATCCCTCAAGTGACAGTCTTATGCAGACAGCTGCTCCCAGGCCAAGGCAAGCACGGGGCAGTTGCTGTTGCAGCCAGGCAGAGGTTGGTGCCTCACCTGAAGCAAGATCGAGAACTTCTTCCAGAGGCTATCGCGGAAAGTTCGCAGGGCTGTCGTTGTTTATGTGTGCCTGGCAATGCGAAACAGAGTGATGAGAGCTACGTAGGCTCGCCCCCGAAACTTCAGGACTTCAGGGAAGAATGGGCTGGAATATGGTTCCTGGAGAGAAGGGCTTGAGGGTCGCGCATATTCGATGGCTCGTGCCGGAGTGGCGGTTTTGGCTGCCTCGTTTCATGGGTGGCACAGGAGTATGTGTAGGAGCAAGCTTGTCTTCATTGAAGACAATGAGTTCTCTTCTTGGAGGCATAGGGATCAACCCAAATTGTGACAGATGGCTGAAGCAAAAGGCTGCAATGTGAGCGTTTGACCTTAAGGTACTGGATGAAAGCCAGATTGGGGTGGACCCCCAAGAGAGTATTATTATCATTTCCTTGTTCTTCCTTTGTGATCGTTTTTGTGTTTAGGTCAGACTCATCTCATTTGAGGATTCGGCAAGCGTAGCGCAAATAGAGATTCGCGCCACGTGCAAGCTGTTTTCAGGGTGCTGCGACATGTCAGCCTGGCCTTACACTGAGACTTGTGCAACTGATGTCGGTCCCAGCCTGCCCTGCGTAAGTGATGGTACGCCCAGCCGCATTCCTGTGGCAGGGGCCGAGGGAGAATTTCTCAGCTGAGACAGTGACAGCCTCAGTGGGATGGGAGGCAGGGCTAAAAAATGCCAATGCTTCTGCAGCAAACTTCTGGAAGCAGTGCTGAAGCTGTGCCAAACCTCCCATTGGTGTGATGCGGTCCTGAAGTTTGGCCAGGGCGCTCGGTTTGCGCCGAAAGGTTGCGTTGAAGTGGCCAGGCAACGAATCCTCCGCACCCCGAAAGCGAAGAGCCGTGCCTGGCGCGCCCGGGCCCGTTGGGCTCGTTGGGCTCGTTGGGCGCGTAGCGCAAGCCGCCGGGCCGCTTGGAGCCGCGCTGGGCTTTTGCCGGTTTTCGGGGTGCCGTGCAGGGCGGGCCTGTCAGGGTTCAAGCCAAAGGATTGAGCACACCTTGCGCAAGATAGTGTGGGTGTTTCTGGTCATCTGAGTTAGGGCCTGCAGCGTGTCATGAGAGCAGCGAAGATAGGGAACCTAAACTGACGGATATATGCTAGGTGGAATGAAGCCAATCTGATTGTGGTCCAAGTGCAGGGCCGTGCTGTCGTCAAGCAAATGGGTTAAGATTTGCGTGTTCTGATTGCGTATGCTCACTGCTTTGCAAGCCGACTATTCTGCTTTGTGTCTAGGCATCCCCTGGGCAGGCCTGCATCTGCAAGGTTAGTGTACAGCCATGGTTTCAGCCATGCACCACTTCGTGGATCACAGACGTGACCCACCAGTCGGCATGCCTCGCGACTGCGGGTTGACACCTTTGGTTTCTTCAGAAGCAGCCACCGTATTAGCTTTGAACAGATGCTGCAACCTCAGTCGCACGCGAGCCTCGGCGTTCGAGACATTTAAATTTGGCACGTCCAACTGACGGTTTAGGTGGGGCGCTCCTAAGGGAACAAGATGGATGGGGGGCGAGAAAAAAACAGTAGGAGAAATCTTGAGTGGAATCATACCCGTTCGATACTTTGCTTCCCGGGGAAGTGGAAGGGAGTCGTGCCACCAAACTGGAAGGGCCAAACTTGCCCAAGGCTCGGCAAGGGCGGAGCCCGGCCCAGTGCAAGATGTGGTGCTCCGAAATCGTTGCAGGGAAGAAGTTGTTTCTGTGCTGTCCGGGAATGAATGATTTCGGGCCTGGCGTTGTTTTGGCACTGTATATTACAGATCTTTCTTTTGATCGCTGCATTTCAACTCGGGATTTGGCAGGTTGGAACCCATGAGGCCGTGTACTCGAAGCCTTCGTGGGCGCAAGATGCCTAAGCTTTTCGAATGTTTTGAGACTCAAGTCCGCCAAGTGCAACAAGAAAGGCAGAGGTGATAATACGTCTGCCGGCAGTTCACTACGAGGCACCCCTTTTTGCGTCGCCGTGCCGGGTTCTGCTCTTGACAGCTTCGAGGGCTCGCGCGCAGAGGCTGTGCTAGGTCCAGCATTCGCGAGCCGCGAGCCGCAGTCAGATCCCCAAGGGGAGTCACGCACTTCGCATGGCTGGCATGGGCTGGCTGGCGGACGTCTATGGCCGAGGGCCGCGACGAAGCGCGGCTGTGCTCCGGGAGTCCGTGCGTTGCACCCGGTGGCCCGGTATGCCAGATTATCCTTTGCAGCTCGGAGGATGTGATGCGTTCTGACTCATGGTGTTGTCCTTGGTCGTTTGCGTTGTTCACGAAATTTGACGGCGTGACCTTCGCTCCATGATTCAAGATGAAGAAGGGCTTCCAAACGCTTAAGTGTGGCAATGCGCGGGAGCTGTCAGAGTCAGATGCACTCAGAGCAAGCGACCTTCTTTTTCCCACTTGGAAGGCTTAGCAATCACGCGGGGCCCTTGATCTAAGGCTTGCCTCAGGAATTGTCCAGCTGGCTGTGAGTGTGGTTGCATTTCTGTTGGGGCGCACTGGACTCTAATGCAAAAGTGGGTTCCCCTTGCAAAGATCCGCTTTGCAAACTGTGCGAAGGGAGTCTTTGGATCAGTTGGGTCGGCCTGTGCGTGTGTTGAGCCTATCCGGGTGAAGCTGAAGCGCGTTGAAAACCCGCGGCTCGCAGTGCGAAGGGCAGGGCGCAACTTGGACTTCCAGAAAGTCACCCCGACCCAGGCCATTGGGTGTGGGTTTCCCCGGCTATGGCCTTTCATCATTCGAGCCACGTCCTCAAAACCCTGGTAGATGAAGGTTAATGTTGGCACTTGATTAATAAAGGCCCCCCCCCCCTGAACAATGGAGGCGCCAAAATAATGGGGGTGCACTTTTGGGACGTCCAAACAATGGAGGGTTTTGGGGCCCAATTCTACTTTAGTATTGCAGCCACTTCCTTTTTGCAGTTCTACTTTAGTATTGCAGCCACTTCCTTTTTGCAATTCTACTTTAGTATTGCAGCCACTTCCTTTAGTATTGCAACCACTTCTTTTTTGCAATTCTACTTTAGTATTGCAGCCACTTCCTTTTTGCAATTCTACTTTAGTATTGCAACCACTTCTTGTCAACTGGGGGTTTGGCTTTGGGTTCTGTGGTTGAGCAACCAATTGAAAGGGGAATGCTTTTAAGCAAGTGAGCCACCAATTGAAAGGGGATGCTTTTAAGCAAGTGGGCCACCAATTGAAAGGGGAATGCTTTTGAGCAAAGCAACTGATAGTTTATTTTCTGGGAGGGGGGGCTGGGGGCTTGCCACTATTGTGGTCCCCTAAAACGATCACATTATTGTGGTTCAGTGGGGTTTGTGAGGGGTACCCTTGTCCTGATTGTTTTTTTTTGCAATTTTTTAGCACGGTTTAATAAAGAGTTTGCAGTTTCAGGGCTGGGGATGGTTTTCAAATTTCAGAGTTTCAGCTGGCTGGATTTTGGGGTCAACATGGATTTTGGGTGATTGTTTGGGGGGGATGTTTTTTTTTTTTTTTTTTTTTTTTTAAATATTTTTTTTTTATTTTTTTTTTTTTTTAAATGCTTTGTGATTTTTTTTTGGAATTTTCCCCCTGGCCAAGAAACTTTCTATTATTCTGGTCCCCTTAAACAATGGGTGTGAACCATAAAACGGAAAAACTTTCTATTATTCCGGTACCCTTTGCTAATCGAGTGCCAACATTAGCAAGGGAGAACCCCAACCATAAATGGGTGCCGCCGATATAATTCTTTGCAAGGTTCTGGGTGGTCATTTTGCTTAATTCTCCAGGCTTTGACTGTGACTCATTCGAGGCTTTGCTTGGCTTTGGCTTTGGCGGGGTCCCCAACTTTTTCCCGCCCTTGGCTCAAGCTCCAGAGTGTTGGAGTGGCCCGCCCGTCTCTGGCCAGGCGGGGCTCGGGAAGCGAGCCGGCCAATTTTTGTTTCTTTGTTCATTCTTATCACTCGTTGTCACTGTGTATGGACGAAATCCATTTCGCACCGCCTAAGAAACCCTGGAATGTTGATTCCGCTGCAAATACCAACCATCAATGGTTTGTCATGGCTTTCAACTGGTTCAGGATTTCGTCCAGCCACAGTATGTCTTCGAAAGAAAGCTGCAAAGAGATGGAGTTTCTTTTGCACTCGTCCCAATCCCACTGTGAAGCACAGCGCGTCACGAGCTTGCACTGTCGTTGGCGGATGTCCAAGTCCGTCCCAAGACGACTTCCCCCAGCCAACCTTCAGGGAACCGGGTTCCGTATGGCAAGCTTTTCAGGGCGAAAGAACGCACATCGGCCCATGTCATGGCTTAAATCTGCGACCCTTAAACTTTAAGTGAAGACCGTGGACAGCTTGGGGTCCTTGAGCATGTGTCTACCTGGTAGCATAGGGCAGAACTTGACTTTGCTTGCTCGGGATGGCAAGCCCTCAAAGACTTCGAAATATGTGATATTATGTGATACTTGCGTCATCTAGCGTCTCTTTTAGGGCATGCCCTCATTTACTGCTCTTGGTGGGTAAAGGGACGGCAGCACCCCTTGGTTTCCGAGGCGAAGCTCATGACCTTTGGCAGTCACTATGGCAGCCACTTCGGCGCGTACGGCAACTACAACCTGAGCACCACGCCCCGAGCACGTTCCGCGGGGCGAGTGGGGCGGCCAGCCGGGGCCCTGCTGCACCGATCGCAGGGGCCACATGGAAGGGCTTGCAGCTGGTCCTTTATATTTTGTTGCAAAAAGTTGCCGGGGTCTGAATTTTGCTTTTTGGTGGTTATCAAAGTCACAAAAAGGGGGTGTTTCCCTAAAAACCCATCACTTACGGGGTAACTTTGATCACGGTAATATAACGAGGCCAGACTTGTGGCGGCACACAGCAGGGCTGTTCTTGACGCGGATCCTGCCCTATTGGGCCATGACTTTTGTCCTTGCGATGATTTGCCGCCCGGAGGGTGGCTGCCATTGGACACAGGATGCCCTCGAGGGCTTTCTCTCTGCTGGCCCTGGGCATTACCAAGATGAACTTACCGCTCAAGTTTCCCATCAGCTGTTTGTGATGCAGCAAGCAGTTCCCCAGCGGAAGTAGGAGACAACTCGCGAGCAATTCCCAAGCTTGAACAACTCCCCTGGGAAGGATAGCGGCCAATTGCAAGCTCGTCAAGTTGTTTTGGCGCATCTAAGCCAGCTTTGCTCGGATGGCGTTTGGGGCTTCGGTGGTTTGAAGTGATTTCCTGGCGACCAACCGGCAACTGTCTAGCTTCAAGAGACTATTTGAAGAGTCTGAAGGGATCGCAGTGTGAGGGACAAGAACCTTGTTGGGCCGTGGGTGGCCTTTGCATTTTTTGCTCAGCATGGGTGAGCATGAGAACTCGAGTTCTGGCCAACTTGGGTTTGCCTACGGCCTACGAACGGGGTACCGGGGTGCCAGAAGGGAGGAGGCGTGCTCCAAGGTGAGCGTCCGCAACGGCTTGGGCCCAGTTCAGGCCTGGCTGCCGAGATGCCACGGGCTGGGCATGAGATCTTGGCACGCATGCCTGCTGGCCCCGACACTTGAGCAAACCCTTCTTGGATCCCTGGGTCAGAGTTGAAGGGCATGCCGCATGGCTCCCAACAGTTGGCTTTGCATTCAGGAAATCTTCCCAGCTTACCTGGAGAAGGACAGAGAGGCTGGCGTT